TAATCTGTTGAGCTCTGTTTCTTCGTGGTTCAATTTGGTAGGTTGAAAGTATCCAGAAATTTATCCATTTCTTCTAGGTTTTGAAATTTGATGACATATACTTGTTCATAGTAGTTTACAATAATGCATTGTATTTCTGTGGCATCAGTTGGAATGTTTTGTTTTTTCCATGTGAACATTTATCTTTTCAAAAATCCAACTGTTTATTTTGGTGATCCTTTGTACTTTTTTGTCTCAAATTAATTTTTCTACTCAGATATTTATTATTCCTTTTCTTCTATTTTGAGTTTAGTTTATTTTCGTTTTCCTAGTTTCTTCAAGTAAATTATTAGGCCGTTCTTAGGAAAGCTTTCTACCTTTTTGATGAGCATGTATTACTATAAACTTTTGTCTTAGTACTGCTTTTGCTGTATCCCACAGGATTTGATATGTTATGCTTCCATTTTCATTTGATTCACAAAATGTTTAATTTTCATTCTTAATTTATTCATTGGCCTATTGGTTGTTTAGGAGCATGCTGTTTAATGTTTATGTATTTGTACACTTTCTGAAATTTCTGTTACCGATTCCCAGTTTTGTTTAATGGTGGTTAAAAAAGATACTTATGAATTCAACTTCAAAAATTCATTGACATCATTGTGTGGCCTAATGTATAGTATATCCTAGACAGTGTTTCATGTACTGATGAGAGGACTGTATATTCTGTAGGAGTGGATAAAGTGTTCTGTAGATGTCAGTTAGGTTCTTTTGGTCTATAATGCAGTTAACTCCATTGTTTCTTTGTTAATTTTATGTCTGGATGACTTGTCCATTATAGAAAGTGGGGGGTGGGCATGGTGGCTCATGTCTGTAATCCCAGCACTTTGAGAGGCCAAGGCAGGTGGATCACAAGGTCACGAGATCGAGACCATCCTGGCCAACATAGTGAAAACCCATCTCTACTAAAAATACAAAAATTACCTGGGCATTGTGTCATGTACCTGTAGTCCTCGCTAGTTGGGAGGCTGAGACAGAAGAATTGCTTGAACCCGGGAGGCATAGGCTGCAATGAGCTGAGATCATGCCATTGCACTGCAGCCTGGGCAACAAGAGTGAGACTCGCCCTCAAAAAAAAAAGAAAAGAGAAAAGAAAGCAGGTCATTGAAGTTCCCTAATATCATTTATTGCTCTCTACTTCTCCCTTTAGATTTATTAATGTTTATATACCTGGGTACTCCAGTGTTGGCTGGGTATATTTGTATTATTGTTATATCACCTTTCCATCTTGCTGAATTGATTCCTTTATCATTACATAATAACCTGTTTGCCTCATACTACAATTTTGATTGGGTGTCTGTTTTATCTGATATAAATATAGCTATTCCTGCTCATTTTTGGTTTCCATTTGCATGGAGTGTCTTTTTCCATCCCTTTACTTTCAGTTTACATGTGCCTTTATAGGTTATAGGAGTTTCTTGTAGACAGCACATAATTATTTTTTTTTAATATTCGGCTATTCTGTATCTTTTAATTTTTTCCATATACCTACAGTGCTATTGCTAAATAAAGACATACTAGTGCTATTTTGTTACTTGTTTTTTTGGCTTATTTATTTATTTATTTGAAACAGAGTCTCACTCTGTTGCCTTGGCTGTAGTGCAGTGGCACAATCTCAGCTCACTGCAACCTCTGCCTACCAGGTGATTCTCATGCCTCAGTCTCCCAAGTAGCTGGGATTATAGGAATGTGCCACCACGCCTGGCTAATTTTTGTATTTTTAGTAGAGATGGGGTTTTGCCATGGTGCCCCAGCTGTTCTTGAACTCCTGGGCTTGAGTGATCTGTCCACGTTGGCCTCCCAAAGTGCTGGGATTACAGTTGTGAGCCACCACCCCTAGTGTGTTTATTATTATTTATTTATTTATTTATATTTTAGACAAGGTTTCTCTCTGTCATCCAGTTTGGAGTGCATTGGTGTGATCATATCTAGCTGAATCCTTTACCTTCTGGGCTCTAGTGACCCTCCTGCCACAGCCTCCTGAGTATCTCGGATGGTCGGTACATGCCATCCTGCCCAGTTTTGACTGTTTTTACTTCTACTCTTCCTTCCTTCCCATCTTCCTTTGCAGTTAAGTGATTTTGCTCTGGTAGTTTGTTTTAATCCCTCTCTTTTTATTTCTAGCATATCTATGACATCCTTTTGTTTTGTGGTTACTATAAGGCTTACAAAAATCTTAGAGCTATAACAAGTTACTTTAAACTGATGGAAACTTAACAGTCAGCACCAAGAAATGAAGCCAGTAAAAAAAGTTTAAAACTCTGCACTTTAACTCCATGCCTCCCATATTTTGACTTTTTGTTGCTACAGTCTACATCATTTTATATTGCCCATCTCCTAACAAACTGTTGTCCTTATTTTTGATAGCTTTTAGTCTTCACACCAAAGGTACGAATTTGTGTACTTACTCTCAACAGTGAGTTTTATACCTTCACATATTTTCCTGTTGCAGGTTAGCATCTTTTCTCATCAGATGCAGAACTCCCTTTAGCATTTCTTGTAAGATAAGTCTGGTGCTGATGACTTCCTTAGCTTTTGTTTGTCTTGGGGCTTTATCTCCCCTTCATGTTTGAAGAATAGATTTGGTGAGTATAGTATTTTCAATTGGCGGTTATTTTCCTTATGCCCCAACTTTTACAGCTCCCACTTGAAGTACAGCATCCTAAGCCTCCTGGCTTTCACAGTAGAGGGGACTAGGCATATGTGTCTCTCTAGATCACAAAACAAAGATGTGGTTTCCAAAAAGTACACTCTCTAGATATAGTGCAGAAAAAAGGCTGGAATGCACAGCCTCCATTTTTTTTCTCCAGAAGGGATTTATTGCACTATTTGTTTGTTTGTTTGTTTTTGAGACAGAGTCTTGCTTTTGTCACCTAGGCTGGAGTGCAGTGGCACCATCTCAGCTCACTGCAACCTCCCCATCTCGGGTTTAAGCAATTTTCCTGCCTCAGCCTCCTGAGTAGCTGGGATTATAGGCACCCACCTCGACACACAGCTAATTTTTGTATTTTTAGTAGAGACAGGGTTTCACCATGTTTGCCAGGCTGGTTTTGAACTCTTGACCTCAGAGGATCCACCCGCCTCAGCCTCTGAAGTGCTGGGAATTACAGGTGTGAGCCACTGTGCCTGGCCTGTTGCACATTTTTTTCAGTGGCTACTTGGCAGCTTGGCTTCCAGTGAACTTGCATTGCTGAGCTAATGAGGTAGACAAACTAACCCTTCAAAAGATTGAGCTGGAAGATGTCACTTCCTGAGCCTTTCCTCTAGCTCACTACAGTGATAATTCCAGGTCTACCCATATATCCTGTAGGTATCTGGTCCACACACCAACTACCACAACTTGTATAGCCCTCATAGAAGGGACTGTCTCTTTAATGACCTAGTTCTGGGAGTCAACGGGGCTATTCATTTCTGAGTGGCCCTAGACACTGGAAACAAACAGGTACATATACAATTAAGCCAACTGCTTATAGCTATCTCCCCCGGAAGAGTACAACCTAAACATCAGTACAGGCATTTGTCACAGATCCTCTCCCTGGCTTAGTGCAGAATGAATGGGAGATAAAGGTTCACACTCAGCTTCGCCATGATGATAGAAGAAACTGAAATACATATCCAACACCCCCACATTTCTAGCTACATATAAAGTGTTTGGAGTCTACCTTATTTGACTTGGAGTCTGGTACATGGCATATTCTAATCTCCAAGGGGCCACCAAAAACAGAGACAATAGTTTGGACAAACACAAGTAATTAGGAGGCACCTTAAAATCTCTGGCCAAATGATTTGGCAAGATTATTCTCCTTCACCATTTAGATTTCACTTGAGAAAAGTTAGCATTGTGTAGTTAGGGCAGAAGTCATCAATCTGGATACTAAATATTATATATGTCTCTTTCAACATATTCCTGGGTTTTTCTCCTATGTGATAGATATTTTAAAAATAAATAAATAAATAAATTGGGTTCCAGGATATTCATTGTGCAATAAGACTTCCTTGATTGATTTGTACAAAGCTGGGCCATTCTCCTTGAGACACATTTAGATCTGGTCAGTGTGTCTTGGTCCTGGTCAGAATGTGAGAAACTAATTTCTGCCCATGAGTCCCAGAAGTGACCTGGCAGTGCCACAAGATAGCAGCAGATTGTACTGAAAAAGGCCAGTACGATAAGGAAGATAACAAGCCATCAAATACTAAAATATATATTTCATCCTTCCTTCTCATTAAGGATATGTCTCATATCTACCACTTCCTAAGATACCACCCACACCAAGATCTCCATCTCCCAACTGTTACATTGCTGCATAAAATACCCATGCTTGTATCTTGTTCTTTGAACTAAAATTTCTTTATTCTAGTCCATGCTGTTCTCTTAACCTTATTACAATGATCATTAAGTTGAAGAGGGAGAACCGTGTAAGAACAAGTCTGCAAGTTAAACTATAGTCCTGATGCTGGAATCCACAAACAGAAAATCTGAGTTATAGATAAGCCAAGATTCTGATTCTGAAGCAAAAAACACACTCTTAGATCTTAGGCATCTAATATCCTATCAGTATTTAATCAAGAAAGAATCAGGCAGATGACAGGGGTCAGGGAGCAAGCAAGAGAGAAGATCAACTTTTACTAAATAATGACCTAGTACCAAAAACCTTACTGACATTAACTGATCCATGTAACAGATATTTGTTGGGAGTTTAGTACTAGCACTGTACTATAAAACCATCATTCCCATTTTATGACTGAGAAGTCAGAGCCACAGATCTAAAAAGTAATTCACCCGGTGTCCACAAGATTTCAGCTCAGATCTACGTAAAGAAAAGCTCATGTTCGTTCTCTTATGGCAAACTGTGGAAGGAGGTAAAGTAATTTAAGAGACTAGAAAGAAGATCAGAGGAAGACAGCATTGAGGAAGACGTACATAGCCCCATAATATCCTAAGTCTTCAAAAAATTTAATTCAAATTGTATTAGCCAACAGTGTTTTAATATACTTTATAGACAAGAATTTTTTTCACAATATTCTATTTACTCATCTACCAATAAAACCTTTCTAGGAATTCAACAATAAACCAACATTAAAAGCTTTCTAGCATAAATCTCTGATTGCCAAGATAACCAAAGGCCATCTTTAAAACACCTTTATTATTATGATTGTTTCAAAAGGTTTGTGGTTATGTTTCTTTAAAAAGCTGTTTAATTATATATGCTGAAATGTTTATGGGTGAAATGATTTGATGTCTAGGATTCTCTTTAAAATAATGTAAGGATACAGAAGACACCGTTATCAGTTGATAACTGGTGAGCTAGGTAATAAATACACAAGTTTGTTTTACTCGTTATTCTATATAGTAAAAAATCTATCACCATGCTTGGGCACAAGCTTTCTCTCCAAGGAAATATTAAATATATTTTTCAGTGCTTTTTCTATCTCTTCCTCATTCAGAGTCTTGAACTCTATCAGATCTGTATTGTCCTTATAATTGAATCTCCTATAGGTGAGGGTGAAGCCCACTAAACAGTGAACCCCCTCTGGGGTCTGCAAGGAACAGAATGATTTGCTAGTAAATACAGATGCTTGAGATGTCTGCAGGTATGTATTCATAGACTCAAAATCTTCAATTGTTCGAGGCTCAAGAGTAAAGGAGTAGATTTTTCGGTATTTGCTGCTTTCTATGAGATCAGAATTAAGAAATTCTTCATTTGGAATGTACTGGTCTCTTCTGATTTGGTCTAGATACCAGAATCCATTCTCTTCCGTCAAACGGAAGATGCAAGGCACCTGAGGTTGATCCTTCCCAGAAATTAACTCAAGAGGCTGCCATATCTGATATGAGCGTCCAAACCCAGCATCGACAATGTAGTTCTTGCCATCAATGGTCACCTGCAGGAGAAGGTGAATCATGCCAGTGCTGTATTTTTTGGCTGGAGTGCTATAAACATACCCTCCCAATATCGTGGTCTCAAAACCAATTGTGGTCAGAGCCCAGTACAGAAGATGATTGACCTGGAGACACCATCCACCCCGATTTCTTCTCACAATTTGATCAAAAATGGCCCCTAAATCCAAGTCCATGGCTTCCCCACAATGGATGTTAAGGTTCTCAAAAGGAACAGCTCGGATCTGGTGCTGAAGAATGTCAGTTAATGTTTCCAAATCCAGTTTGTTCCGAGACTTCTTATAGCCAATTCTTTCAAGATATGCTTCAATGTCCATGATCCCCTAAGCAAAGAAAACAAAACAAAAGCAAATCATATTACTTTTACACTTGGATTTGAGTAGGCTAATTATGGCTATATTTTAAATATGTAAAAATACAATAGTTGTAAGTATAATTATTTCTAGTGCTTTTATTGTATGAATTCCTTTTACATGCATAAGTTCACTTAATAGTCCCAGAATCCTATAATAAATGTATTACATCTTTTTTCAAGTGTGAGAAGTTGGAAATCAAGATTACATGATGAGTCAAATGATAAACAGCTTGTTCATGGTTCTCTTGGTGATGAATAAAAGAGAGATTCCAATTGGTATCAATTAAAATAGGCTTGTAAACATCTTCTGATGTAGGCAGAGGAATCATGCAATAGCATGTATAGTATTCGTGATATCTGACCCACTCAATTTCCCATTTAGTTGAGCCTTATACAGACTTCCCTACTCAAATAACGGTATTGATTCACTCATCCATTGATTGATTAACTCAAGAAATAGTTTACCGGATAGCTATTATGTGTTTCCTACTGATCTAGTGCTTGCTTACTCTCGAAAAAATCTTATATTTTAGTGGGAGTTGGAGTGACATCCATAGGAAACTGAATACATGGATAAAACACGCAATATGTTAGACTGTAGTAAGTGCACAGGGAAAGCTTCCATTTCAAATTAGTTGGTTAAAAAATAATCACTAAGATTTGGAGCATGCCAGAGAATAAGCCCTGAGGATATGTGTGAGGAGGATTGTTCCAAGCAGGGGAACAGAAAATAACAAGGCCCTAAGCTGGAAACTGCCTTGAGAGTTCAAAAAACATTCAGGAAGTCAGGGCAACTGGAGCACATGAGTGAGGAGGAGAAAGGATTGAGATGCTATCTGACAGGCAACTGCAGCCTTGGAGCTAAGACTGGCATTTTGGCTTTTACTCTAAGTGAAATGAGAAATATAAATGAGAGATGCCTCAGGGAAGGGTTGTAATTGAACAGTGTTTGCCACAATCAAAGTGATCTTTCTGGCTACTGTATAGAGAATAGGCTGCCTATATTGAGCCTTATGGAAAGTCGCATGAACTAGGTGGGACCAGTTTGAACACATATGCTGTAGGACCAGTGCTCAGCTCATGGATAACATATGACCTAAGTAGGTCCAAGACTTTATTGAAGAACTTCTGCTGAAACCTAAGCATGAACGTTCTGCTACAAGGTGGAAGCTGGTGGGATATTCATTTGAAGGTATTGGTGAGAACCTATTGAAGAACAACGCCAACAAAGAGTTTACCAAGTTTACAAAGAAATGAAAAACAGGAGAAGGTAGAATGAGGATAGACCTCAATGAAGCTGAAAGCTATCTTTTAACTTTCAGGTAATGTGAACCAAAAAAAATAAATGCCCCTTATTTTGTTAAATCTTTTAGAAAAGATTTTAAATCTGCCATCATAGAGTCTTCATCTTTGGAGACTGATTCTAACAGTGCTGCACAGACCTCAAGAATAACTCTTTTGTAATACTGTATGGCCTGAGGATGACCTTGTACAAATGGACCTGCCCTGAGTTGAATGGTGATAAGTGAATCATCTTCTCTTCCCTTCTCTTACCATTACTTCTGTATTCTCCTATTTTTCCTTTCTGACCCAGCTATCCTTCCCATATTGCCAGTTTCCAACTTTCTCTCTTCTTGATGTCTACAACATTATTTCTCCTAAATCTATTAGATGGGATTTCTTCTCAGCCTACCTTGCACCAGTACCCTTTCTTAGCATTTGGACGAGCTCTAAAAGTCTACCACTCAGACAAAGAGACAGAACAAATTGTAGTCAGGCAGTGCTAACCTCTCCCTGCCCCCTAACCTAGAATCCGTACTGAGGATTTAAAGAAGAGAGAAAAGCTGATCCGAAAGGAAGAAGGGAGTTTTTACATACCTGAGCATTTGATTCTTACTTAGAATATCATTCCTTCTATTAAGAAATTACTTTATGTCTCTTTTATTTGGTATAATTTGTTTACAAGCATTTGTTTTCCTCTTTTTCTTTCTTTCTCTCTTGCACTCTCTTTGTTCCCCTCCTTCCATCCTTCCCCTCCTTTTCTCTTTTTCTTTAAGGTAAAGTGTTGATTTGGAGTTTAGCAACTGCCAGGTCCATTTAAAAGAAGTCAGTTTTGTTAGAGTCTATATTGATAGAGCAATATGTTGTAACCAAATCACACTTGAACATTCTGTGACTGAATGTAAGAAATTGTGCATTACTGGCGTTGTGCTTCAAGGTGCAATGCTGAAAGCACTTGGAAAGTAGTTGCCAGGAAAAGAGCTCACTGAATGTAGCTCTTGTATGTATCCACTGGTAGAACCTCTGTGCAGTGATACATCCCTCCCTTTCACCCTTCCACCTTGATCATAAATATAAGACTTAAAGGAGGCAGAGAGAACATGCTTAGGGAGCCCACTGAGAGCTCTGAGAAAGGCACATAATACCTTTCTTAGCAAGTTGAAAGTAGGTTGATCTTCAGTTTTAATCCGGAAGACAGAATGCTGCTTCTTCCTGGCTTAAATTCTAGAAATAAGAGAAAAGAAAGTTCGAAATATATAACGTGACTTCTTTGAAAACAATAGTTTGTAGATCATAATATGAAGACTTCATAAAAATCACAAAACAGAGGGAATGCTCTGCATAGTAAAGTGAAATTTGAGTTGTTTAAGAAAGTGTGTAGAAACTATAACTATAGAGATGGGTGCAATGCTGATGGGGCTAGAGCCTTCTGACTTACAAACTTGGATGCTGTGGAAGCCACCAGGAGCTGGGCTTCCACAGCCTCCAGAGGCAACCCACCAGCTGATGAACTGCCATGAGATCAGCAAGGAAGAGTAAACTAGGTTCCATGCCCCAAATCAATACCATGACATATTACCAACACATCAGACCAGGAAGTAGTGGTAGTACCTGGTCTTCCTCTAGGTACAACTATAACTGAGCATGTTGAGGCAGATAAACAAGGTAAAGCCCTTAATGTATAATGCTACTCAAAAGAAAGAAGGACCGTCTGCACACAGAAGACCTGCCATCAGAGCATCTCTTGTCGTATTCACCTCCACTAAAAACACCAAGGAGTCTGTGAAAGGAAATTCAGTTATGGGACCCCAGACTCATTTAGCCAAAGGGAAGAGTCAAGCTGGTAACTGGGTCATGCAAACCTGCCTCCCCGTTTTTGGTTCCTAAATAAGGTAGCCTCAAGATGAAAAGTGACACACATCCCCCATATTTGGCCCACAAGGAAACTCCTAGTGAGCTGTTGAAACCTCACCATGACAAACAAATTGGGAGACATTAGTATAATAAACCGTAAGTTTACAACTGCTTTAATTGACACAGATGCAACTATATCTCTGATAAATCCTACCTTATTTGGAAACCCCATTCCTCAGAGTAATGAAAAAAATTAACATGGTAGGTGTGTCTAATAAAATGATCTCATGTTTTAAGTCCAAACCTATGCCTTACCGTTTCATCGGGTTCAGCTCCCACAATGCAGGCTCTAAGTGTGACATGCTCAGTAGGTCCCATATGTCTCTTATATGCCCTGGGGCCCTTGTCAGTCTTTTGGGCTGTGATCTCCTCAACATCCAGAATGCCATATCTCTTTTTCATCAAAAGGTAAACTTTTTTTAGAATTGGGGCCAGGAGACCAAAAATACCAAATTACAAAATGTCCTGACAGTGTACCACAATTTAATGCTAGTAATGTTAAAACATCATCTTGTGGCCGGGAAAATGAAATAGAGACACAGAAGGAAATATTAGGGGAGAAGAGAAAGTACTGGAATAAAGAGCAGGAAACAGTAAAACTCCTTTTTACTTCCCCAATCTTCCTGTTAACACGAGTGCTTGCTCAAGGATGTCCCCTCCCACTTACGGTCTCAATCAAATACAGATAAAGGGAAAATATTCTCAGCCACTCCAATAAAGGTAGAGGTAAACCCAAAGAAACCTGTACCCAACCTTAATACCCTCTACGACAGGAAGCCATAAATGGAATTGCCCTATTATACAAGATTACCTAAAAAGGGGGTTCATTATTCCCTGCACAAGCCCCTGCAACAGCGCTCCCAACTAGTCCCAGCTACTTGGGAGGCTGAGGCAGGAAAATCACTTGAACCCAGGAGGCAGAGGTTGCAGTGAGCCAAGATCATGCCACTGCACTCCAGACTGAGCAACAGAGTGAGACTGTCTCAAAAAAAAAAAGACCTATTGGTTTCCACCATAAGTACAGAAAGGTATGATATAAAATAGGCCTGCTCAGGATACCTAAAAGGGAACGTGGATCTGGCAAGGATTCAGGTCTGAAGTTATGGGAATGAAAATGAATGAATAACTTTCAATAACTTACCTGGATCCCTTCAGATCTCTTTTACCATCTCACAGTGCCCCGGCCTGCCTTCTGTGTTCTTCTATTTTAGGACCTGTACCTAGACTCTCTTTGGAGGACTCCTAAGGGCTCCTGAAGCTGCTTTGCCCTCCTTTGCAGAGAGCTAGAAGTGCCAGGGATTTATGTCCTGCCAGGGATTTATGTCCTGCCAGGGTAATGCTGGATCAATGACTTAGTAGGAGGTCTGGAAAGCCCAGCATCCTTGCTTTGAGTCTAGACACACTTTGGAGTTGTCATTCACATCCAGGCTACATCTGGCATTTTCCTAGCACTTCCTTCAGTCACTTGTACATGGATTCTTGTCTTGATATCTGGTTTGAAGGAACCTGACTTAGGCCACCTTGGTGGACATTTTGGAGAACTATGTAAAAGAAAGGTAAGATACACAGAATGAGGCAACTTCTAGAGGGCCCTGAATGTTGGGCAAAATGCTTGTGTTTTTCTGCAGAGTTCATGAATGTTGTTTAGTTGAATGATCAGTTTCAACAGTTGACCAACTATTGTGATTTATCCCTACCTGACATGGCACTTCAGTAATAGATCACATTCTTGGATGTTGAACACCTGGAGAGCAGGTTGACAGGCAGAACTCACTGTTCAATTCCAGGTCTCTAGAATCTCTATATGTTAAATATACAGCAGTGGTTTTCTTTCTCTTTTTGGTTAAAGAAACCTTTATTCTTTCTCTAAAAGAAGTTATAAACAAGAGCCAAACATAAAAGAATTAAAAGCAGGTGGCTCACGCCTGTGATCCCAGCAGTTTGGGATGCCAAGGCCGGCGGATCACCTGAGGTCAGTAGTTAGAGACCAGCTTGACCAACATGAAGAAACCCCATCTCTACTAAAAATACAAAATTAACTGGGCATGGTGGCACATGCCTGCAATCCCAGCTACTCCAGAGGCTGAGGTAGGAGAATTGCTTGAACCCAGGAGGCAGAGGCTATGGTAAGCCGAGATTGCACCATCGCACTCCAGCCTGGGCAACAAGAGCAAAACTCCATCTCTAAATAAATAAATAAGCAGATAAAGCAGATTCACCCAGAGGTAGCCTGCCTATGAGATAGGGCTGTTGTGCCTTAAGGCTAAATTCAGCACAAGTACAATTGCAGACAGATAAAATCATCTACACCTGCTGCATAGATTTCTGGCATTAATGATTAGAAGAATTATCAGGAGAGCTAATGAGTGGCTTTTCTCTCTCTCTCTCTCTCTCTCTCTCTCTCTCTCTCTCTCCCCCTCTCTCCCTCCCTCCCCCTGTGTGTGTGTGTGTGTGTGTGTGTATGTGTGTGTTGTGTGTTTTTCTTTTCCTATTCCTTCTCTTTTCTTTTGTCTCTACCACCATGAAGGAAGAGCATGGTACCCCACTAAATTGACAATACAACCTAGCCCCCTCCTAAGCCAGCCCTTTGAGTCTCTGGATTAAAAGGAGTTGCTGGACTAGCCACACCCAAAGACCATCATTCAACAGTTGTTACTGTCCAGAAGGCCTGCATCCCTCTCACTGGTCCCACTTAATGCCTACTGGAGCCAGGAAGGTGCTGGGGGTACTTGCAACAAGCCAGGAAAGCAAAGCTAAAGAAAAACAGCTGCTACTACTGAAGACAGCAAAGGCCAGACAAAATAAGTCTCTGGGCAGATAGAGGGCTGACAGTTTAAAAATTCCTTTTGAGGAGGAAGGTGGTGTCACCTGTTTTGTGTTTCAAGCATTCAAGGGCAAACAGTATGCTGTCTTTTGTTTCTTAATCAGAAAAGAGCAGGTGTACGGTGGTTGTGGGCATCAGTCAGGGCATGGAGCCACATCCTGGGTCGAAAGCCCATCGGGCCCCCAGCTTCTGGGGCTGTTTGCCCAGGCCAGTCTCCTCTCTTCTGTAGAATTCTGCAAGTCCATGTTCAGGGCATGATGCTCTTAGTCTGGCAGTGAAGGAGTTAAATTTTTTTGTCATTCATTCCTCTTGGAGATCCTTTCCACTAAGGATACTTCCACCATGATAAAACTTCCTCCCAGGTGCAGTGACTCACACCTGTAATCCCAGGATTTTGGGAGGCCTAAGAAGCTGGATCACTTGAGCTCAGGAGTTTGAGACCAGCCTGGCCGGGACAGTGAAACCTCATCTCTACTAAAAATACCAAAAAAAATACAAAAATTAGCCAGGCACAGTGGCCAGTGCCTGTAATCCCAGATACTCAGGAGGCTGAGGCAGGAGAATCATTTGAACTCAGGAGGAGGAGGTTGCAGTGAGTTGAGATAGTACCACTGTACTCCAACCTGGGGAACAGAACAAGACTCTGTCTCAAAAAAAAAAGAAAAAAGAAAAAGAAGAAAAAGAAAAGAAAAAACTTCCCTCCAGCAATTCCCATAGACAATGCAAACAACAGAATCTAAACTTCCTGGACATCTGGGATCATTAGGGGCTTTTTATCAGCTAGTGCAACAGGAGCAGGAACTATTACGAGCTTGCTGCCTGTAGGACTCACTGGGTCCCTTAGGAAACACGCCACTCAGTGAGCATCATTGTTACAAGTAACCAAGAGGGGAATCCTGTTGAGAAAGTTGCCTTAAACATATTGGCTATCTTTTAATACATGTATTTAATCCTTCTTTAAGTAAGCAGTATTCATAGCTCCATTTTACTGAAAAAGAAACTGAGTTTTAGAGAAACTAAGTGACTAGGCCAAGTTCTCACAGCTATAAAGTGGCTGTGACTCTAAACCCAGCAGTTTGAATCAAGCACCTGTAACTGTCACCACTACGTTGTGGAGTAGTGACAGCATTAGACTCCAAGTATGTGCCAATTAGACTTTCTGAACAAACTTATACTTGAAATGCAGGCATCATGTAGCATCAGCTTTCCTGTACTCACACTTGAGATAGGATTAAACCTCAAATTCAAAGTATGCTGCAAGTCCCTTACAGAGAGTTCCACTTACCAGGTTTTTTCAGCCAGCAACCAGGAACCAGACTGAATGCAATCCTCCCATACCCAAGGTCTATGAGGAAGTCCTCTCACTTCCACAGTCTGCAGGAGAAGTACTCTCATTGGCTGTCCAAGTGGCCCTGCTCCCAGAGTCACCTTAGGATCACCCCCAGGGAACTCTGGGAAATGTAGTTGCAGGGCCTCAGGTTGTTCCTGTGAACCCCTATTCAAATCTTTCCATTAAAAAAGTGTAAAGAGTTGTATTGTTCAATGATCCCCATGCCACCAGCTGGGAGGACTATGCCCTTGTGTTTCACCTGGTTGCTGCTCTCTGGGAGCCTGACACCAGATGTCCCACATGTGATGTGGAACGTGAGAGCCTGGAACAGGTCCAGGAAAAGCAGAACTGGTAACCTAGAGGAGGCAAAAGAGGAAGATGGAAGGCTTTAATCACACTCCAAGTTTATGGTGTACTTTCTTCATCGATTCCCATTAGGCCTCTTTTAAAAAATTTTCTTCCCTTCAGCCATCATCCTCATTCCCACTGGCCTCTCTACCCAAAGGCACTGGGTAATGTGTCTGAAATAATTCCATGTATGAGAGTGACGTATGTCATATGGCTTTGTCTATGCTGGTGTTTTTTATTTACATTAATGATACTGGTCTATAACTCCTGCTGTTATGCATTTTTCTCTACACAATATGTTTTGTTGTTTATACATAATGTACATGTTTATGGGGTACAATGTGATGTTCTGATACATGTATACATTGTGTAATGATCAAATCATGGTAATTAGCACATCTATCACTTCAAACATTGATCATTTCTTTGTTTGGAAAATATTCAGAATCCTCTCTCCTAGCTCTTTGAAATATAGAATGCATTATTGTTACCTGTAGTCCCCCTACTGTGCAACAGAGTAGCTACGTACCATTGTACTTTTGATTAACCTTTCTCCATCTCCCCTTCCCCCCATTTTCCCAGTTTCTAGTAGCCACTATTCTACTCTTAACCTCTATGAGGTCCTTTTTTTATTATTATTGCATGTGAGTGAGTGTTGCCTTGTGCCATGCCTTCAGCACCTAGTGTTCTAGACCATGCCTCTGATGTCCTGCCATGTAAACTTGGGACTCTATGGGAAGCCTTTCTCTTCGCATGTCCTCTGGCAGGGTAGACATACTTGAAAACTAATTCCCTGGGACCACTACTCAGCCCAGGATGATGGGAGTTAGAGATTAAATATCTTTGTGCTCTACCTGGTCAGGTGGAATTATTTTTAGGCTTGTATAACACTGCCTCCTGGTGTTGTCCAGTGGAATTACATTTTCTTTGTTCACAGGTAACTTGTCAATAATGTACCCTTTATTGATTCTCAAACTGCCCTAGTCTCACTGTCCCACTCCTGCACTGGTGCTTCCTTAAAGCACCTCCCCAGTAATCTACCTGAATGTGAATCCTTGTCTTAGAGTCTGGTTGAAGGCCACTTTAGTCAGCTGGTTGTGAAGTGGACTGGAACTTGGATTCCTCCTGCTGGGGTAGTGGATTCCCCTCTGACCCAGGGTGGGTCTAAATGCTCCCTCTGTGGCCCCCAGCCTAGAATCAAGGGCCTTGGAGCTCTGCCCAGTGCTGTGTTCCACTGCAGTGGGGTCAGCACTAGGTTCCAATGCAAAATCCCACACTCACGTTCCTTTTGCATCCTAAGGAAGTAGATTCTCTCTTCACACTGTGCTGCCTGGGCTTGCGAGGATATTTGTTGAACTTGACGTCCCTGCAGGGGATTGAGTACTGGAGGGTTCTGTTTAGCCACCTTGTTCCACCCTCTATTTTATTATTTTTGATGCTATTGTGATGGATTGTGTTTTCCTGATTTCTTTTTCAGATAGATCATTATTGGTATAAAGAAATGCAACTGATTTTTGTATGTTGTTTCTATATCCTGCTACTTTACTGGATTTATTTATTCTAACAATTTTTATGAAGTTTTTTGAGTTTTCTATAGGTAGGATTATATCATCGGCAGATAGAAATAATTTTACTTTTTCCTCTTAGGCTTATTTTTTACTTCCTTTTGTTTCGTTTTGTTTTTTAAGTCCTGGCATACATGTGTAGGATATGCAGTAGTTTGTTACACAGGTAAATATGTGACTTGGTAGTTTGCTGCACCTATCAACCCATCACCTAAGTATTAAGCCCATCATGCATTAGCTATTTTTCATGATGCTCTCCTTCCTTCCACCAGTGCCCTCCTCACCCCCACAGGTCCCAATGTGTGTTGTTCCTCTCCCTATATCCATGTGTTCTCATTGTTCACTTCCTGCTTATGAGTAAGAACATGCAGTTTGGTTTTCTGTTCCTGTGTTAGTTTGCTGAGGATAATGGATTTTAACTCCATCCATGTCCCTGCAAAGGACATGATTTCATTCCTGTTTATGGCTGTGTAGTGTTCCATGGTATATATGTAGCACATTTTCTTTGTCCAGTCTATCAATGATGCGTATTTAGGCTGATTCCATGTCTTTGCTATTGTGAATAATGCTGCAAGGAACATACACATGCATGTATCTTTATAAAAGAATAATTTATATTCCTTTGGGTATACACCCAGTAATGGGTTTGCTACATTAAATGGTATTTCTGGTTCTAGGTCTTTGAGGAATTGCCACACCATCTTCCACAATGATTGAACTAACTTACATTCCCAATAACAATGGAAAAGCATTCCTATCTCTCTGCACCCTCACCAGCATCGTTTTTCTTGACATTTCAATAATTGCCATTTTGACTGGAATAAGATGGTATCTCACTGTGGTTTTGACTTGCATTTCTCTAATGATCAGTGATGTTGAGCTCATGGATAGGAATAATCAATATTATGAAAATGGCCATGCTGCCCAAAGTAATTTATAAGTTCCATTCTATTCTCATCGAACTACTGCTGACATTCTTCAAAGAATTAGAAAAAAAAACTATTTTAAAGTTCATATGGAACCAAAAAAGAGCCTTTATAGCTAAGACCAATCCTAAGCAAAAAGAACGAAGCTGGAGGCATCACGCTACCCAACTTCAAACCATACTACAAGATTATAATAGCCGAAACAGCATGGTACTTATATAAAAACAGACACATAGACCAATGCAACAGAATAGAGAACTCAGAATAAAGACCACACATCTACAACCATTTGATCTTCAACAAACCTGACAAAAACAATGGGGAAATAATTCGCTATTTAATAAATTGTGCTGGGAAAACTGGCTAGTCATACACAGAAAATTGAAACTAGACCCCTTCCTTAAGTCTTATACAAAAATT